CCCCCCCCATACTCACAGGGGGGCCCTGAGCACCCCGGGCTCCTTTGGGACCAGTTACTCCAGTTGGACCCTGGGAAGAGGAGGAAAACGGGTTAGAAACATGCTGGGAGGGGCTGCATCGCGCCTGCCAGGCGGTGCCCCAAATTTCCCAGGGATAGGGACCCCCGCAGGGTTCGCCCCCCGATTCGGGTCACAGGGGGGCCCTGAGCACCCCGGGCTCCTTTGGGACCAGTTACTCCAGTTGGACCCTGGGAAGAGGAGGAAAACGGGTTAGAAACATGCTGGGAGGGGCTGCATCGCGCCTGCCAGGCGGTGCCCCAAATTTCCCAGGGATAGGGACCCCCGCAGGGTTCGCCCCCCGATTCGGGGTGCCCCGGCTGTACCCACCTGCGGGCCAGGTGCACCAGAGGGACCTTGGGGACCGGGAGCGCCGGCGTCACCCTTCTGTCCGGGCTCTCCTTGTTCGCCTTTGGCACCGGGTTGCCCGTCGGCACCCTGCAGGGAAGCGGCCGCCGTGAGTGGATTGAGCCGTCGCTGGACCCGTGCCGGGGGGAACGGGGCCAAATACTCACCGGGGGACCGGCAAATCCAGCAGGACCGGGGGCACCGGGCTCACCGCGCTCGCCCTGTGGGGGAGAGATGGGAGTTAAATGGGGGGGACGGGGGGAGCAAGGCCAGCGGTGGCACCGCCAGCACCCGGGGGGCTGTGGGGGGTGGGACTTACGGGGGCACCGCGGGCACCGGCAGCGCCGGATGGACCAGGAGGGCCAGATTCACCCTGGAAAAGAAAGGATGGAGAGTTGGGGGGTGTGGATGGCACCGCCCTTGGTCGGGAGCAGCCGAGGGGCTGCCCGGGCTCTCACCTTCTCGCCGTTGGGGCCAGCAGGGCCGGGGGGACCGATGGGACCCGTCAGACCCTATGGGGGAGAGACAGATGAGGAGGAGGCCACCACGAGCATCCCTCGCCGGCCGCCCCGCTCCCGCTGCATCCCTGTCCCACTTACGCGTGCGCCGTCCTTTCCGGGGGCTCCCTCGGGGCCCTTCTCTCCGACGTCTCCCTGCGGGGCGAGACAGAGGTGATGTGAGCCCAGCTGAGACCTGATGCCGCTCAGGACACCTCCGGGACCCCTCACTTACCCGGTCTCCCTTGGGACCGGCGATGCCGGCTGCTCCTCTCTCGCCGGGCATTCCCTGCAGCCCTGGGGGACCCTGGGCGCCGTTGGGGCCAGCTGGTCCGGTTGCACCCTAAAGCAGAGCGAAGGTGCAGTTATTGGGGTGCCAACCCCCCGTGTGCAGACCCCCAGCCTCACGGCTCCGCCGGTGGCACTGAACCACCGAGCCCTGTCCCCCTTTGTCACCCACCTTGGGTCCGTCGGTGCCCGGTGTGCCGGGGAGCCCACGGGGACCTTGCAGCCCTTGTGCGCCGGGAGAGCCACGTTCACCGGGGAAGCCGCGTTCGCCCTGGCGTCGGGGGGGGCAGCGTTAGGAAGAGGCCACGGGGCCACGGTGAGGGTCACAGTGCCCTTTGCACGGATGTCCCCAGGGATGGAAGGCAGAGCAGCCATCCTGCACTGCCCCGAAGGGACTGGGATGTACTGGGAGGAGAGGACGGGCTGCGGCAGAAGCTGAGCTGCTGGGTGTGGGGGAGCCGATGGCCCTGGATGGGGGTGGCCAGGCTCTGCCGACCCCCTTGAGCCCCCCAAAATCCCCAGAGGGACAGGGTGAGGTGTCCCATCCCCACAGCCGGGAGGACGGTGATACTTACTCTGGGACCGACGAGACCGGGGGCACCGGCTTCTCCGGGAACACCCTGCGGCGGGGGGAAAAAGTCAGGGGTCAGTCCTGGGGGCTGCCAGGGGTCCTGACCCCCCCCTTTGCAGCTGGGGGACGGCTGGGAAGAGGGAAAAATGGGGCCTCACCTGATCTCCGGGTTTGCCGCTCTCTCCGGGGGGACCTGGTGGCCCGGGCAGGCCCTGGGAGGGGACAGCAGTGGCATTAGCATGGTGGCAGTGAGACCCCCGGGGATGGGGGCTCGGGGTCACCCACGAGCATCACCTTGACCCCGGCACCCCAAACCCCCCCTTTCCATGTGCTTACCTGGAAGCCGGAGGGACCGGGGGCTCCTTGCTCTCCCCTCTCACCTGCGGGACCCTGCGGGAAGGACGGCGGTGAAGGACCCCGAAACCTCCCGGGGTTGGGGCTTCACCCACCCCAGGATTTTGGGCAGAGACAGAATCATGGGGGGATCCCAAAATCCCCATGCCCCAACACCACGAGGGCCGGGGAGCACAGAGGCACCCCCGGGGTGGTTCTTTGCCCAGACCCAGGGGGGCTCCAACCTCCAGCCCCCCCCCCCCCCCTTTGCAACAGGCGTTCTCGCGGGGCGCAGACCCCGGGC